TCAACTTTATATCGATGAAATATAGATTAAAGGCTTTCTGCTAGTTATTTCAAATCATACAGCAAAATCAAATTGCACTGAGATAGTCAGTCTTATAGGTTACTGATTATATTACAAACTTGATCAGTATTTAAGACTAAAAAACATGACACTGACTAATGTCTAATGATCTGTCAGTGTAGTGGATTCATTCTTTCAAGAAGTCATCCACCGACTGAATATTTCAATGGTAACCTTTCTAACTGTAGATCTTGCTGATACAGGCTTGGATATTTGACGAAGCATTGATTACCTCAGACTAACAGTTATATCTTGCTAACGAGTTTCAGAAATTCCGAAAGCTAAGTTGAGCAGGGCACCTTACCAAGTGCATGTTACCGTACAGTATCAAGCGTTAGTCTTCACTTTAACATTACTCATTTAAACTAGAAGTCTTGAGCTTCCATTTTGAACTGAGTCTGTTTGAAACAATATAAGTAGGCTAAAAATTGACCCCCTTGTAAACTTAGTAACTTAGATTTTTCTATAGATAGACTTTTTTTTGAGGGGGTTGTGGAGATTTGGAAATATTTCAAGTTGTTATTCATCGGAGACTGACATCAGTTGGAGGAACAAAGGAAACCTGGGAGCACTGGACAGCTGTTTCGTCCTAGTATGGGACTCCTCAGCAGTGCGTACCCACGACCCCACCAGCAGGGATCGAACCAGCGACCCCCCTCAAAAAAATTTAATTGAACTGGTGCTCATTGGTGACTAGCTTCGAGAAGTATTACCGAAGTTCCAATGCGATGTCATGACCGGTGGAGTCAAAGCCTGATGGCCGTGAGGACAAATGCTCAACGATGACGTTGGGTGGCGGTTTGCGCTATATCGTGAGCTAACAGAAGTTGGAAATATGGAGCATTGGATTGTGATTCAGTGGCTCAATGGTAACGCGCTGGAGGCGGAACCTGAAGGTCGCGGGTTCGATCCCTGCTGGTGAAATCGTGGGTGCGCGCTGCTGAGGAGTCCCATACTAGGACGAAACAGCTGTCCAGTGCTCCCAGGTTTCCCTTGTTCCTCCAACTGATGTCAGTCTTCGATGAATAACAACTTGACATAGATAGGCTGCTCAAAAACACATGGTAGTATGGCAGAGTGATAATTATTACTCAAGACAACTGATTTGATGATACAAAGCCCTCAGTGAAATGATATAAGAAGAAAAAAATAAATTTACGGTTTGTTGGAATTTGTTGACTTGAAAGGAGTTTACATCATGAATCAACATCATGTACAGAACCCTTGAAAAATTTGGAGTACTGGCTGAAACTTGTTGATTTTAAGCTCAGTTTTTACTACAGTCATTGGTATTCACTACAAAAGAGTTTCAAACTTGTATTCTCAGGTTTCAGTTGGTTATTCAACATGATGAATGCCACCCTGAAATCATACTATCTCCCAAACCTACGAATTTAGTGGATGTCTACTGCTCATTACTAGCATACTTTTAGATGAGATTTCTGTAAATTTCACTGTGTAGTCGTGATCTGTGAGGTCAGCTAGGTTGGGTGTAGTAGGAAATGCTCGCGGTTGGTTTTCAATGATTGTGGCACAATATGGTGAATTGATAGAATTAAGAAAATGGTACTTAATTCGGTGCCTGGATAAAAACGTGCTTTCTGCAAGTTTTTTGTTAGGTTCGCGGCTGCTCACTACTGAGAAGTCCCATATGAGGTTGGAACAATTTTCAAATACTTATAGGTCTTTGAAGGTTCTCCAGCTGATATCAGTCTGTGATGAAAATTAATTTCAACTTTTTATTGTCATGATGAAACGAAGGACCTACTTAAGCACATAAATATACGCTGTTTTGTGCAACAACAATCAATTGACAATACCGAAGGTGAATCTATTATCAACTAGTCTCAGCTCAGGCTGACCTTATATCCGAATACCACATCACTGGAGCACCCAAATGTTATCAACATTTGAACTTATCGTGTTTTATCTACTTTGACTATGGAAAAAGCTTCTGATAGTCTCGTTCGTAAAAAGGAAGTAAACGAAACGTTTCTTCACGGTCATTAAACTAAATTACTTTGATCAAGCATAACAATAATGAACACAAGTGAAAGGATACTGACGATAAAGTACGATTCGAACAAATGGCCTTCAGATCCTTGGGGTAACTATCCACTAACTAAACTGCATTATATAACTCTTAACTGAGTCGAATAATCACTTCCTAAGTAAGTTAGCGAAGTATGGTTTCACAAACAGTAGAGTAATTAGACATAAGATATAGATTCCCACTGCATGAGATAAATATTTATTTTATTTTATGCTACTGAAGTTCAATAACTCACAGGGATGGCATGCAGATTATGGGGATCCCCCCACCTTACAAAGGCAAGTGGTATGATTATTCAGAAGATTATGAGGGAAACCATATGATGTCATTCAGGCAGGTGGTTTCAGTGATAACGGCGTTGGTAGATTGAATTAAATAATCTCGTTAAATATTTAAATGAAAGTTCAAATTTAAAAATATTATTTTTTGCAGAGTTATTGGTTGATTTTATTAGTGGTAGGAAAACACAAAACATCTACTAATTTTCAGACAAAATGAATGTTATAATGGTTTGGTGTACTCTGAATTTTGATATTTTACCTTGTACGTCTTTAGGCTTGGTGAAATCCTTGTCATTAATTTCACTAACGAACTTGATAATGAGACGCTCATGATAAAATATCAAAGCCCAGAGAACATCATACCATCATCATTAAAAATCTTTTCATTTAGATTTATAACGATTGTTCTTCAAAATATTAGCTGAGATAATCTGCCAGTTATAAATATTCAGATGGAAGGAATATCGTGAACTGACTGATTTCAAGTAATTCACACTATGAAATGAAACCACTTAGAGGACTATTGAAAACCAGGTAGAATAGAACATCGATCTCATCCTAGCCCGAGATTAATAGAAACTGGACACTTAAAGCGCCATACTAGATAGGGGTTGTAGTCATCAAACACTGCGTCAGTCAATACTCAGTCAATGTGTGACAAAGTGATAGAATTTGGGAAACAAAGATCATTGAATGATCAGCTTAACAGCTGAAAGGAGGTATGCTGTACATGAGACCTAATCTCAGGGTCATTACCAAAAGAGGAAGTGGATGTACACTGTCTAAACCGATTGAACGGTATAACGAAACAGGTATCCTGTTGAATTTTATTTCAAACAGTTTTTTAGGTGGTTTTGGTTAGTGATCAAAAAAATCTTTCGACCTTAAAGACTGTTTACAAAGTGCACCGTTAGTGAATGATTGTTTCCAATAGACAACAGCGCCCATATGTTATTTAAATAGGTAAACAAACCAGATAAACGACATAGAAACTACTTCAGAATGCTGATGGTTAGCTACATAAAGGAAAACCACAGTAATTTTGAAGCTGTTTACTACAGATCATATGTCTTAATGAATCAAATATTGGGGTTATTAAAATATTTTCAATTATTATCACTGAATGAATCATTTTCTGAATCGTGTTTACATAGCCACCTCACAGTTGCGCATGAGTGTCAGAAAGCAAGAATTATATGTCGAGGGCATCCAGACAACCGAATCCTAACATCACTTGGTTTGAGGCAATCGGCAGGAAGCCCTGGACCTAGGTTTCATGCTTTTTGGCAGTTGTCAGGAAGGCGTATCTGCAACCTCGACGGGATTCATATCCCACCTGAGATTCAAACCCGCGTTACCCAGTGTTGTAGTCAGCGACTTTACTTACCACTGAGCTATTCGGGAAGCGATGCTGAGCTTCTTCGCTTGGTTGCCACATTGCAAATATGATCGATAGGATTCGGTCTGAACTCAGGACCAGACAACATGAAATTGGTTGCATTCGCGGGACCAGTCAGTACATGGATCCTAACGTCTTACGCCAAAGACAGTGTTGAACTGCTTTACTTAGAGGCCACATAACCAACACAGTCCAGAGATTTGGCTCATTGTTGAGTCATCACGACTAGATAACACTATATCGTGTATAATCCAGTTACTGCTGTATCTTATTTGGGGACTTCATTATTGTGAACGATGTCCATACTTATAAGAATCTATCCAAAGTAAGGCAGTTAGTTCCTAAGATGAGCCTGTCAACAGTGAGTTACTTCACTTGGAATTCATTGTTTCGTATTTATGCCATGGCGGTTTGTAACTACTGAAGGCGAATATGCATTCTTACTTTTAAAATTCCAAACCTATCACTTCCGTGCTAAATGAATAAAACTTCCGAAAATCTACCTTCTCGAAGGGATTCAGCAATGCACGATTGACGATAATTCTTCTACTAGTTTTGGTAGACTTCATTTATCTCTATTAGTTTTTAGTTTCAGGTTGATATTTATCACAAGCTGATATCAACTGAGTAATCTCATCTCGAAGCTCTAATGAGAAATCGTGACCGTTTGTGCCAACCTGGTCAGACTTGAGAACGATTGCTCGGTGACGGTGTTTGATAGAGGTCACGGTGTATCGTAAACCGACAGATGTAGGTGATGAAGGGCCATTGAATTTCAAAGTAGTGGCTTAATGGTAACGTGCTGGCCACGAAACCTGAAGGTTCTAGGTTATATTCTTGGTGGGGTAATGGGGAAGCACTGCTGAGGAGGTCCATACTAGTATGAAACACTGCTATCGGGTTCCCATTGGTTCTCCAACTGATTTAAGTTCATGCTTAACACCATCATTCAGACCTTCAAATGTAATTTCCAATACATGTAGATAATTGTTTATAGTAAATTAATTCTAATCGTAAAATTTATGTTTAGACAACTAAACGTTCAAAGTTCGCCCAACCGATAATGTTAAACATAAAAACTCTTGACTTATAAAGTGTATCAAATCACGTATCACTATTTGATAACCTTGAAGTATGGATAAGCTCGTTCTATCGAATCGCCTTGAAAATATATACATTTTCATGTGTATAAATATTGTGCATTTGTATGACAGTTATTTTCATGAAAAAGGATTCTTACAATATGTACGCACTATTGATTTTACAATTAATCTTTAACTATGATACTGTGAATTCATGGAATGTTTATGGTTTTCTGGAGTCACAGATACCAGAACAAGTACACATTGCTTTAGGAGGTAAGTGTATCATTTTGTCTGCTAGATAACACAAATATACTCTAAGATAATTCTAAAGTTTAGTTAGTCGAGTTTCGATCTTCCTTTGTGGTACTGCAGTTCTATGAGCCGGATTATGTAATTACGTTGTCTACGTTATCTTTCCACATAATATCATCAGGAATAATTTAAAAGATACATGGTATTTTTATGCAATGGGTTTAGTAGCTAATCTTGTTGAGATGGAATCGATTATTATTGGTTACTCATAGGATTCAGCTGGTCGCATTAGTGACCTAACCACTGACCTAGTAGTTTTTATCCATTGGTTGATAAACTGGATATATCACTTTTGACGACTGACTGATCTAATTGCCTAGTTGTCAGATATTCTGCTGTATCTTTTATGTTTTCACCGTACATGATGTATATATTTCCAAAATCAGACTCATGATAATGTGAGAGATGATATAACGAGATGTTCATAAAGACAAGGCGGATAACGTCTTCCCCTAAATTCGTATTTATCTTTGTTTAGTTTGTAAATGGGAAACAGTTCATCCTCTTAAGATGTTGTGTCTTTTGGCTTACATCACGAAGAAACGATAAAATTCACTAAACAGTGAGCTCACTGATTCTGTAGCGTTTCAGTTGCCTTTTACTGGTCGGTAATTTTCTTCATTGCTGTGCAGTCATTCATCAGTTGACTTCTGAGGATGACTAATTTGCTGGTTATAACTTGGATAAACACCTATTGGATAAGTTGCACAGGCAGATTTTATTCTTCAGAACAATCCTTAAGTAATATTAATAATTTCTCCTAGTGAAGATCGAACGCCACCTTTTCAACTCTTCTAAATTATATCTGTTGTAAACTTAGTTTGTCCGTTTCTTGATTACCTTTATTACGGTTGAGAAGTAGGTTAGCTCATTTCAGCCTTTCAAACACTTGAGTTTCCAATTTTATTGTACATCTTCGGATATTTGGGAAATTAAAGATTACCATTTTGGAGTTTCATTTTTCCTCTGATGTGAAACCGATGCAGTTAGAAGTTTTTGATCAAGCAGTACTGGAATTCGCGAGTTTTTCTCTGAAATAATACTGTTATCGGTCCAGGTGTGGGTAAAGTATAGTCTTAAGTCTGTTCACTACTGCTGCTAGAGTTAGTCAAGATATGAATGACTCACTTTTATCAATGTTAAACGAAAAGTGATCGGCTCAAGGAGACCTGAACCTTGCAGTCTTGTGACTTTCAGAAGTGTTGCATCGTTAGTGAGGAGGTATCATGTTCCGGTTCAAATTTTAGTCTCACTGGTGCATATAGTGCAGAAACACTAGGAAATATTGCCAGTCCATTCTGTTTGTTATGGATATCTGTGATCCTTTTCAATATTTTTCTCAAAGATTTGATAGAATTTCCTATTAGCCTGCAAGGTATATAAGTTTACTCTTACGTGTACTTCATAAATTGTAGGGTGAGATTTAAGATTTTGTTTGGGCCCGGAAGTTTATTCTTTTGTAGTTCTTACCTAATATCAGAAACAAGAAGGCCAATTTTATTATGTTACACTCACCAATTTCACGATTGTAGTTACTTATTCTACATTGACTCACTTCCCTGAGGGTATTTAAGTGATTTTTTTGGTTTTAAAATAATCATAACTCTGGAAATGCTGAAGAATATTTGTAGCTCAGGAGATTAATTGTAATAATGCTGTGTTCTCTGAACTGGACGGCTTAATCATGAAGCTTTCATTGTCATTCTAGACAATATCATCAACCCAAACTTTAGAAAAAAGTGAACTATAAGGCTTTTTCTACAAGTTGTCCTGATAGCCTTGTGTATGATTGGTTGTTTCCGCCGAAGTCTTGTCACTTTCTCCATATTTAATTCGAATGGTTATGGTGTTGACGTGAACTTTGGCCTTCTTGCTGTTTCGTATTGGTTGGTAGATTGAGTCAGTGTCAGTATATCTATCGATTGCTGACTGATTGGAACACGAAGCCTCTAAAAATTCCTTGGCTTTCTTTGTATTTTCTCTATCCATGATTGATACACTTTCCCGCTTGAATTCCTGTATATAATTGTAAGTATGGGTTGACATGAGTGAAAATACACGATGAAGCCTCACTGCTAGTTGATATTTGTGTACGCGGATCCAAAGACAGCGATCAATCTGTCCAATATAGTGTTTTTCACAGTTAGTGCCACAAACCTTTATCAAGCTTATTCAACAGCTATATGAAAACGCAACATGCTAAGTGATCCCAAATGGAAAGCTGAGTGACGCCTTTGAAGTAAAGACAGGAGTAAGACAAGGCTGCTGACTATCACCGATGATTTTCCTGATTCTGGTGGACTGGATCATGCACCAAACTGTGAGGAGTCAGAAGAGGAGCATACGCTGGCTGAACCGATGAAAAGACCCTAGGAGATTTGGATTTCACCACCGATGATTTATGTCTGATGTCGCACAAACTCGAAGATCTACAGGCGAAAACTAACAAGTTGACAGGAGATGCGAGGCAGCGAACACGGTACTTCGAGAAGGCGGAGGTGATGAAAACACCCAACCAAAAACAGCATCAACAACAAGCGCCAACCACCATAAACGGGAGAAACCCAAAGGAAGTTGTATCTTTCACCTACTTAGGCAGCATCGTTCCAACTACAGGCGGTGGCACAGACGAGAATGTCGTAACCAAGATCGGAAAAGCAAGACAGGCTTTCACTCATCTGAAATCAGTGTGGAGATCCACTGCACTCACTATAAAGAACAAGATCCGGATTTTCAACACCAGTGTCAAGTCAATGGTGCTATATGGATCAGAAACTTGACGTGTCATGAAAGGCATTCCCAACAAACTACAGACATTCATCACATCAACAGCTGTCACCTACGCTCACTGGATGCTGAAGATCAGATGGCCAGAATAATTAGAATAAGCAACGAGGAACTCTAGGTGGCTGCAATGAACCAACCAAGAACTTATTACCAAACAAATATGCAGACGAAAGTGGAGGTGGATTGGGCATTTACTGAGAAGGCCGATTGGAGACATCACGCGCCAGGCCAGTCCCTCGAGTGGAATCTACAGGGGAAACGACGAGTTGTGCGTCGGTGCCGAGAGTGACATGGGGGAGATGGTGTAAGGAAGAAATGAAAGCTTGTGTGCAGTCGTGGCGACAGGTTGAAAAGACTGCAGAGAAGAGAGTGAAATGGAGGCGTGCTACTGAAGTCCTATGTTCCACTAGGAACTGAAGGGAAAAATAATAATAATAATAATAATTTTGTAGGTAATGTTCAGCTTGTCTTCCTTCTCTACGGCATCTTTTGGCATGCATAACAGAGAGTGGATAGATTTTGTCAGCTTATGAGCTACAGCCATTCCAAAAGGTTTCAATAACCTAGTCGTGCTCTCGGAAGCTGACTTCTTGGTTGACGACGAATTATGTAAATATCTTTTGATGAAGTTAGGTGGATAGCTGTTCTGTACTACAGTGTGTCTTCGCTCTTTTGAAAATGTTTTATACAACAGCTGGTTTTGTGTGTTGTTTGGTTGTTACAATTGTAGTTAGGGGTTTAATCCATATGAGTTGGTTTTCTGTATATTTCAGTTTCCGATTTCCTCGAATCCATTTTAGTGATGAGAATATCTTAAGACATTCATCTTTTATTTCTAATTCTTTTTAAAGCTTTCCATTCATGAGTGAACAGCAAGTTGTGATCATTTTGACTGCGTATAATATATTCTGATAGACGATTGGAATGGAAGATGGGTCACTTCTCTTTTGTTGGGTGACTTTCTGAAGACTCAGTCGTTTTATGATTTAAAGATAGAACACAAGTAAACACTAGACTAGCTAATAATGAGGCCTTTGTTATAAATAACAAGTCTGTGGATCGAAATGTCTGAGTCATTGCCTTTCTACAATTGAAAACAAGATGCAATATTTGAAATAACCAGAAGTCCCTATTTGGTCATTGACAAACCAAGGAAGGTTACAGAGAGAATGACTATCGTTTAAACGAATTATTTTCACAGCTCTAGATTTGTAGATGTATAAGTAAATAATAATACAATGTTAGTGAAAAAGAATTCAGTGAAGAAAAATTTTTTCTCGACGAATGATTTCCAACAGCTAGGCGTGTATAGAGAACGAAATGATATTACGCAACACAACATATGATCTGAGTAGCCGTAACCAGTAAGATTGGTTGTATGGTAAGAATAAATACATAAACATATGATTAAATATATAAATAAATAAATAAAATACAAAAGTAAAATATACAGAGAGGTGCAGGATATCTGATTAAGGCCATGGTAAAGAGAATGACTGTGAGCGTTTCATTTTGGATACGCAGTTAGGGTTGGAAATCATGGGTTGTCAAGGCTTCGGATGTACATATATCCCCAATCCTCACCCTTTCTGAAGAGTTTGCTCAAAATTTGTAGAGAACTCTCAACTGACCTTGTAGATACGTGCTCACGAGGCAAAGAACATCAATTTGTTTTTTACGCTATGACCAGTCGGCTATTGACATAAGAATACAATGTAGAGCTTTGCAGCAGAGATTGTTTCAATTTAGGACTTTGAAAAATGTTGAAGATGGATGTCAGCGGCAATATCATCTTTGAATCTTAAGTTCGTTCAAGGTGTTTTCTTTATAAATCTGGATGAATAGCCATGTCATAACAGTATTTATTGGTAGGTTTCTAAGTTTCGAATAAATTCGTGATCGGTGCATATCTTTCTTATTCATGCTGAGAGTAAGCTCAAAAGATTCCTGTTTTTACCTAAAGGCATTCAGCTTTGAAAGTTGATCAGTGGCCCGTTTTGCATAGGCTTTCTGTAGATGGATTTTAGAAGGGAATTATCAGACCTGCTTTGGAGTTTGACATCGAGAAAATGAAACGTCGAATTTGATTCAGCTTCCAGTGTAAAGTTGACTGAAGGGTGACTGTCACTGAAATTTTTCAGGTGTGTCAAGTCCAGCTTGCCACTACAAATAAT